TTAATTATAGAAGGTGTGAGTGTAGAGTGTGAGTGAAGCGAAGATCCACACCCACACCCAAGATGATGTAGGAATTCACATTGATATTTATTTAGCAATGAAAAATTAACGTGACCCTTTTTTGATTTCTGAATATTTTAAATTGTATCCAGTAACTTAAAAAATCAAAATATCAATTTCTTTAACTGACAAATTGGCAAAAGTTTAGTGAGACGTCTAAAACAAATGACTTGTGCTTTCAATAGCAGATTCGAAAGCTACTGGTGTACTTCGATCGTACATATCGGTCGATGAATATTTTGAGGTGATAATATATTAAACAATTCAGAAACTTATGCTGATTCGAACATCCTATTTCTTGTTTGAGGCTAATTTTCTGGAGAACTGCCCATCCACACCCTTTTGGGAGATGTCAGTGGCAAGCGACTATTTTTAAGGCACAGGTAGGTGTGGGTATGTGCTTGGATTTGAATTCGAGTCTAGGTATGGATGGAGAGAAGATCTATACTCATCCAACCTTATAGCCATACCAACAGTGACACTCAATCCCAACCTATACATCCAAGATATTTGTGAAATAAACACAGAACTTTTATAAAACTTCCGAAGAACTCATTTGGAAGCTATGGCCTTCTATTCTGGGGATGAGGGGGGGGGGCAGTTTACTAAATATACTTAATTCGTCCAGATCTTCATTACAGGTAGTAGCAATAGTGGATTAACAACTGCTCCTAATTGAGCTAACATGCCTCAACAAATGAACATGCACTGGGTAAACTCATATTTAAGTGCCGAACCAGCTCAGGAACTGGGACTAAGTCATTGCTTATTGTTTTCAAAATATATGGTTTTAGTGTCTGGCATCGCTTATCTCCAACGGAATTGAGGTTATTTCCACAGTAAAAGCTATCGTTACAACCTAAATGAATTAAGGACAAGTTGTTAAAAACATGAAATCGTTTGACTATGACAAAGCGTATAGGTTTTCCAGCTGACCATGCCATTATACTGGGACTAAGCTTCTGGAAATGTGGCTCTTGAATCAGTGCCACTAGCAACCGAATCTTTGAGACATTGGTAAACTAGTTCCCAAATTTCAATCTGCTCTACCACTCTGACAAAATCCAAGTGAAGATCATTCCGTTCTATGTGACGTATAGAATTTTTCATCCTATCATAAACATGCTCTGCAAGTGTTCTGAAGTTATAGTGCGTTTGCGCCTTGGCAAATGAATCTAACTGGAAAACGTGTTTGACGATAGTTTCCAAGTTAGCACGTATTGTTTCCATAATCTCTCTCGTGCTTTATCGAAGGAACTTGCTAAGTGAATTGTACTATTTGTATTAGTAAATATGGAAAGTTCTAAGCTATGTAATTGCTTATTAGGCTCAGAAGCAGATTTCTGAATTTCCAAAACTCGAGCACTCAATTGTGCACCTTTTATCGTGGTAAAAATTCCTATTTTTTCATTGAAAAGTAAACCGAGGATACCAGCAACATCAACAATCATCAGTATGAATCATGTATTGCGGTGATTATGATGAGTTTTCGTAGATGCATTTTTAGAAAATAACAAGTTATTATTAGTCGAATTTAAGAAACCCAAAATAGAAGAGTGACTAGCAATTTCTTCTTGTTTAATTTTGGTATGGACCGATTCCTGATATTCAAGATACAAACTCAACTTCTCAACGTGCTTCATAGGTAAAAATGAACATACCTATTCACTAACTGGTACACTCACTGCTAAACCAAAAATGTCATTTACTTCATAGTAGTACTCAACTCGACTGAAAACGACTTCTCATTCTTCATGTACAATCAGATGTTGTTTGCTAAGTAGTTGGTTGTATATACTATCTTTTCGTTCAGCATTTACGAAATGATTACTTGGAAAAGAATGAATATTTGTAAATATATTGAATAGAATGATGATAAGGGATGATCTTGACTGACGACGTACAGTCAATTGCATAATGATCGTTGGTACTATTTTTTTTGTACATGGTAAAAAATTTCTACTGTTCCACAGTCAAAAGATCACTTATCGATTAAAGAATAATTTTGAAAAATTTGTATGTGTTACAACAGTAGGGATAAGCAGATACAATAAGAAAATCAACAGTGAATAGAATGATGAAATGAGCTCATATCGCAAAGTTTATATACAATTTTTCACATAAGAAAAGAAATGTTTAATACAATTATTGAGCACACCAAACTGTACAAGATGCTGTAAGAAGATTAACGTTAAAGGATTATTACCACTGAGTCATTATTGCGAAGTGTGACAAAGTTATATGTTGTTGGTTATAAACAATTATCTCTTCATGTATTATCTTTTCGCTATGTACACCAATTAAGAATCAAAGAATGACAACAACACTAATTCGAAAGCGAACATCTACGATTCACACATATACACAAAAGGCACGTGTTACGGTAGAACGAAAAGAGATAAATAAAGCAACTTTTTCTATTCTATGTGTGTTACTTAGTGCATTTGAAAAAAAGGCGCACATTTTGAAAATAGTATAAAGATAATTTTTTGAAACAAATTAATTTAGTGATTCAAAAACATATATAAGTGCTATTTTTTTACATGATAAAACATATAGTAATCTTTTGTATATAAAGGAATCTTAACATCATGCTAAAAAGTCAAATATCGACAGTCAAAGTTCAAAGAATGATGTATAAAATGCATATTAACAATAAAATATGTGAATCAACTCAATCAATCACATGGAAAACGATTCAAGATTTATAACAAAATCAAGAACAATAATAACGTGATCGTTCCCGTTTTTTCTATCATTTACGTCAAAAGAGAAAACAACGTTGTCTTCAACATGGTCCTATCCCTACACGTCATCAATAACAAATAACAGAAATCCAAAGAAACAATCAAGAATAGACAAGAGACATACTTACTCCACAAATAAACAGTTCATTGAAAAATAGAGATAAATTGATCACAGCAATCGTTGATTTATCAATTGCTCGCAACATATCGATCAAAAATATAGAAAATGAAACAGATGAAATGAAATTTCATGTGAAATCAGGTAATGATTGCGCTGAAACTTTAGCTTGATTAGAATCAGATAATGGCCGAATGTTCATGAACAATGTCAATTAATGAATATTTATCATTGGCACAAATGATATTCACCGAGTAGGTGCCGATAAAATTGTCCGACGCATTGTATACACAATTGAATCGGCTCGATACTTCTACCATGGCATAAATATAAATTTGGCAAATGCTGCAACAACGCACTCGTAAAACTTGGCTCTTTCAAGATGGTGAGTCAGCTTCTAGTGCAATTAGTATAATCCTGTCATTATCAACACTAGTTTTTGATACTCGTTCATTAGAAGAAGCGTTAGGTACAACGGTATCTTGAATGAATTCCAGAATGTTTGGCGGTAAGTAAATAGTCAAAAGCTTTGGCGAAGTTTCCTTCTTTTTAGATCGATGAAGAGAAACTGCATTCTTACAACATTTAAGAAGTGAACCATTACTTGCTTTTTGTCCTTTTTCCTGCAAAATATGAACCACTTTATTTACAATATAATCTATCTCTGGTGAGTGTTTTAATACCTCCATAGACTCGTACATCGAAACATCAATTTCGATTTTCAATGAAATGTTCTGTAAACATATGCGTCTTAAAAAATAAAATAAGTCTATAGATAAGTCATATTGTTTAATCTGTACGCACACGTCCTACTGGTAATAGTACTATTGGAATTCTACGTACGACAAACGCCTTTTCGCTTATTTTTATGTCTATTATTTCTTTGAATCAGATCCAACCAACATTTGGGTTTATTCAATATCGAAATAATGAACATTTAAGTCTAATTCTTTTAATTCAAAAGAATACTAACGAAACCGGTATTTTCCAGTTTTATCCATTTTCAGATATAATTGAGATAACTTTCAATAAACTGTCAATGGAAAAGACTTTATCTTCATTTGATCTTGTAGTGACATTAGATGTTGATAAAAAAAAATTCTTATCTTATTAGACAATATGCTTCAATGTATCATTTAAATTTAGATGTCCTGATTCTCGACCGAAATGATTAAAATAAAAATTTCATTGTTCGATCGTACACCATCTAGTTCTCTAGTTATTTTCGAAGTATTACCGTGGAATATACAGGAGAAGATAACATATTGAAAGTTACTCATCAAGCTCCTGTGAATGATAGTCATTCGTTTAGCGTAGAAAAAATGGATATTATTATTAGTCGAAGATATAACACATGTGGTATCAGACATTCCTATGAAGATCCTATTTCGAATGAACTTAATCAAAATATGTACCGACGGAATAAAATAGAAAAAGATAAATGATATTTACTATTAAAAGATACCTATCATATTACAAATTCTGCTTATATATTTCAAGTATTATATTTAATAGTTCATATTATAATATCTCAAGTGCTGATGATGGCTGTTAATATAGACCGAACATTGAATACCTATACTCGTATATACATAACTATAGAATGAAAAGAAAACATAAGAGTAAAGAAAAAGTTTGCTTTTTTCATCTTTTTCAAATAAAAGTATAGCGTCAATTACAAGTCAATTGTTGGTCTATATATACGTATAAAACTCTCTTCATTATTGTATCTCATATATTTTAATTAATTAAGTTTATTTTTCCTTCTGCAAGTTTCATGTATCGAATAGGAAATCATTTGCAAGGTTATTAAATTTAAGTCATTGTTCCTTGTAATCGCATAGACTAGATTGTTTTACTATAAATATAGCTAGAGCTGTCTATTCAAATAGAATTTGAATGAAAAGATACGTGTTGATTCGCTGATTCATGTATACGTCAGTGAGAGACAAAATTGAAATATGTTTCAATCGATATGAATAGAAACAAATGATAGTCTATAGTTATAGAGAAGAGAAAAAAAAGAATAACAGCAGTAAATAATATACATTATCTGTTCAAAACGACAACATTAGATGGACGTGATTACAAACGTAAATGTGGGTACTGGTGATATTCATCCCATAGTTTTAGCCACATTTGGTGTTGCATCTTGTTTTGCTGTTATTATTGAACTTGAAAATAAGGTTTTCATTCACCACACTAGTTCTGAGCACTTTAAGATTTCATCAGGACGTTGAATTGATGATGCACATAATTTTTTAATGATGATATTTAAGAATGTCTATGATTTAGACATGGGTGCAATTATTAAAACTGTATTTATAATTGGGGGTTGGAATGATATGTATTATATGCCATTACGAAAGCAAATTGATTTAGTACGTAATCATTGTAAAATTAAAATGAAACAAAATAATTCGTCATCACCTAACAATTTTGAGTTCTTTATAGGTAAAATTATGCTTAACTTAATTGGTTTTAATATGCCAGTAAAAAAATCAAATGATAAAAATAAAGAAGCAGATGATGACGACAGTCCAAATGATTATGTCGTTGATGCTACTATCATATACGATCGATCATCAAATCCTCATACATTTATCATTGGTCAATATGGTAGTCGTGAACATCAAATGGGTACTAATCGAAATGATTCATTATTACAAGTTATATATGAATTTGATGCAATATTGAAAAACTTTTGAGCATTTATATGGGCGAATGCTCGTGAATCGCCCTATTATACTGATTTGTTAAATCAAGTGTTATTGAACGTTAACAGTCAATCGTATATTTATGATTCTTTCCTTGATGATAATTTTAAAACAAAAATAGATACTTTATTATCACGAGTTAAAAAAACAACAATCTTATACGAATAATAAAAACTTTTGCACTTTTGTGCTTTTTTTTTCGTTCCATATTTTTATGTGTGATAGCTGGCATGTGAACGCTAGTTTGTAGAAAAGCAGATACAGGGAGAACTTATTCCAAAAAATTTGGGAGGATGTGATAGCAAATTGGAGGATTAATGGAGGAGTTACCTTTTATTGGGAAAAATCATTCCTATAAAATTTCAAGCGTATGAATCAGTTCCGGATAGTAATTAGAATGTGCTTAAGTTTTGTTGTATATATATTTAACACAATATATAGCACATTTTTCAAAAGAGCAGTCATCTTGGATTTTTAACGATACAAGACTTGCTCTTTTATTCTGTATAGATTTGCTGTCTAATTTGGCACAAAATAACGTGTGCTAATCAACACATATATGTAAATCTGAAATTATTGATTAATATATTGTTGTGAACAAATTATTCGATAAAAGTTTAGCGAAAAAAGCTGCAGACTATACGACAGAAACTAGCTGACAAATTTTCAAAACCGTAGCATTACTGTTTTAAGGAGACATTCGTTAATAGTCTAATTGCAAGTATTTTATAATCTTGATGAAAGATATTAATAATGGAAGGTCAAGCGAAATAGAGATATGTCACATTTTTTGAGACACAATTTGAAATCTAACAGGTTTCTTGAAGTGTTATGATATTGACTGTTTCTTTATTCAAAGAAAGAAATTATCTGAATTATTTAAGTCAAACCATGGGACAATAGAAAACAAACCTTATTCAATTACTTGTGTAAATTGCAACAATGGTCACATTTCTTAGAATTTTGAAAATGTCGATCGTGTCGTAATCTTATTTAATAATTCACAGATACAAATGCATAGAATTCTGATTTTGCTTCGAACATTTATCGATATTCTTAATCTATTAAAAATGAAGAGTAATTATTTTTATTCATCCGATGGATATTTTTTTCAATTATACGCTCAAAAGAAAGAGAAACGTTTACAAACCTTTATTGACATAGGATGTTAGCAATACGAGTCAAAATTTATAAGACATTGATATTCTCTCTTGGATTAAAATTAATATGATAATATCTGAATGTAATAACTATTCAACCCTGCTGCATTGTGTATGAGAAGAGAGCATATTCAATTCTCACTTTATTTGAGAAGCTATTGAAACTGTGAATAGTATTCTGCGTGGGTCAATTTAGAATGGTTTTAGTAAAAAAAGTATTTCTCTATGCTTATGTGCAAGATCAGATTGAGACTCATAGTATCAACAAAATACTACTCTGTACGGTATAGAAATCTAGTTTATCGCATATGAGCGTTTCCATCACAGTAAAGGGATCAATATAGTATTGAATTTCGTTTAAGCAAGAAAAGGTGCAGTGTCAGAGACTTTACTCATCGAAACCGTTGAAATCAAGCCTATGTTTTATCATCCGGAATAAATAATAACTTTATTCTTTCTGTTACGATATTCATTAAATAATTAAGTCGAAGTAAAATTCTTTATTATTACCGACATACAACGTCAAGAAATAAAATGTTAAACATATTACAACATAATAAACACAACCCTCTAGCAATAACATATATCTGACACGAAAAACAGCCAATCAGACAACAAAATTATTATATCATACCACTAAAACAAAACCAACATAACAATAATGCACACACTGTTTAAAAGAAAAAGAACATCAAACGTCTATTCTAATTACATCAAAAAATATATACAAAAAAAAAGAAACTTTTTTTTATCAGATGTTTAGCAACCATTAAAGCGGTGATTCATTATTAAGAAAAAGAATTTTCTTTAATGTTTGTGAACGATAGCTACGTGATTTTTGACGTCGTTTAGAAAATGAATCCATAACAGTTTGAGCAACATTTGCAAAAGCAGATGATGATGTTGATATTGGTTGAATAGATGTTGATGTATATGATGTTATAGGTACAGGTTCATCTAAACGTTGAGATGGTATATATTGATGTGGTAAATAACGACGATGATAACTTGATGTTTGATTTTGATTATATGTTATTGGTAATTTTATTTCACGAAAAAGAACTTCTGCACAACGATATAAAAAGAATAAATCACCCTAAAATAATAGAAATAATTTTTTTTTAGTTAGAAATTTTCTATTTTTATTCTCTTACATTATGTCGCCATATACCAGGACGTTTGATATGATAAATTTTAGCTAATTCATAGATATTTAATGTACCTTCAACTTCCATTTGTTCATTCATTGTATATAAAGCACAAAATGTTGCTGAAAATAAAACCTATTGTATATAAATATAGTTAGTAAAAAGAAAAAAAAACTAACCAGCTCGATGACCACCAAAAAGATCATGAACAACAATTGGACCATTTGATTTAACATTCATACGTAATTTTCTTATTGTATTTATAAGATTAAATGATGCTTTAAGAGGTGAACATGCATCGGGCCAATAAGTACTTGAAACAATTTTTACTCGTAATTCATAATCCTCCTTTTTTATAGAAAAATAAAAGAATATTAATGAATATTATTATTTTTTCTTACTTCAGTTGATTGAAGTAAAAAATCTCGATAAATATATTCACATTCAAAACGTTCATCAATTAAACATACACTAAAACTTCCACAATCCATTATTTGATTTGGTAATGGCCAAAAATCAGGCACATCAGGCTAAAAAAACAGAAAAGAAGAAGAATAACATTTTTTTGTAATTCAAAAACTTTTTTTACTTGAGATTTTTCATCAGCATATAATGAAACAATGATACTTGTATTTGTATTCCAAATCATTTGCCAAAAATCAGTTATAGTATTCATCATAGGATGTTGAGTTATTATAAATTCATCAACACGATGACAACCCTAAAGAAATTTTCATAGAAATATATCAAAATAAGAAAATAATTATTTTTTATGACAAAACAATGTTATATATACTCTTCCGTACAACACAATTAGTACCTAGATCAAGAAATAAGGGATAGTTTTCGGCTTGAATTATTGACCTCAGTTTGAAGACTACAGTAGAAAATTTAGACTTCATCAATATCATACAGTGTGATACACATATTGATAACTAGTAAGGTATTTCTTCGACATATTATGGTCAACATCTTGTTTTCGTTACAAGTAACAATTAGAAATTATATTTTTTAAACTTCTCTATTTAGTGTCGTTTCAATTTTTTTATGATTTATGATATTATTCGTTCAAACCAATAGAACATTTAAATACGATCTTTGAGTCTAATTCTAGCCATTGCCTCGTATCAATATTAGTTCTGCACATGTTGCAAAAGTACGAAAATGAAATTATTTTTAATAAGAATTTCAAGTAAATTTCGCTATATTCTTAGAAAGATACTGATCAGAATTAAAAAATAAATTTCGTTCTAGATATTTCTTCTTGAGAGATACTTGTAGAATTTATAATTAATACTATTCAATGAAAAAATCATTTCGTTTCATGTAGATTTGATACATCCAACTGATTAAAATTGACAAGATTCATAAAATAAAATAATTATTTTATTCTATTTTTCATTATTTTTCCACTATTATAAATGATTTAGCTTAACATTATAACATCAATTTAGTTTATCCAATACTTACATGCATATATGATGCATTAATGTATTCTCCACCAGCTGGTTTTCTATCAGTTGAAAGTATAATTCGACATGGATTATAAGGTAAAATTGCTTGTGTACGATTTTTTGATAAATTTTCTTCCATTTGTCCAGATGATAATTGATAATCATTAATTTTATTTTGTAATATTACTAATTGAAATTGTTTATCTAAACGTGTTAAATTAGAATCTTTATCAAAATAATCCAACATTTGTATAATATAATCAAAATTATGTTCATTCAATTCTAAATCATTATAACCAATATTTAATAATTGTATTGCTTCAAGTAAAACATCATATATAAATATAAATTGTTCTTCTGTTTGAACAAGAAAATTTCGTTGTTGACGAATATGTTTTAAAAATGATGGAATATTTAATGAATGTTGTTCACGAATTTTCTTTAACATTGTATCAACAACAATATATGTTCCTGTACGACCAACACCAGCTGAACAATGAACAACAATTGGTCCACCTGTATCAGGATTACAAGCTGATGAATGACGAATAAATGAAAGAACCGGTAATGTAAATAATGGTACACCATGATCAGGCCAATCAGTATAATGAAATTGATGAACAAGACGTTCATAGCCGATACGCTATATAAAATTAAAATTTATCAATTATTATTATAATATATTACACGAAAGAGCTAATAATCAATGTCAACAACTGTTATATATTTCTAAAAGGAACGCTATGAAATTAATATTAGGAAAAAATTTTGTATACTAGAGTTTTTAATTTCATTTGATCATAAAGAAAACGAAATCTAAATAGATGAGATGGATTTTTAAATAAAAATATATTTAAGAGTTAACTGTTGGTAATTATAACTTGTTTAAGGATGTCTAATTTCAATTTACTGATCATCTACTCAGTGTAATTAGTACATAGTAGAACCGCTCATCGGGTCTGAAACAAAACTAGTAGGCTCAAGAGCATACTGAAACACACTGCTATGAAAAGGAAATACTTTGATAGAGTTGGTCTCTGAATGTTGTAATGTATGCGGATATCGTTGTAGTCAGTGGCTTGCTGTTCAGTATTCACACTAATATTTCACATCCCTGAACTTGTCTCTCTCATCAATAAACGAAAGAATGAGTTGATGAACTAAATTGTTTGAAGACTGAAAACTAACATTTGAAATAAATGAATTTCTTATATTGAAAATTTTGTTCT